GGATCGGAAGGGGGCACGGATTAGGGAGGGAGGGAGGGAGGGAGGAGCTAAGAACCTGAGAGAGACCCTTGGGGAGGGGGCTGCTGATGGAAATGGGAGGTGGTGCCCCCTCCCCGGCTCCTGATGGGGCCAGGTGGCTGCTTGAGCCGAGGGCTCCTGGCTGTCTTGCCTCACCTGCTCCAGAGGGGGCCCGACTGTCAAGGGCTCCTGCAGCTGAGCCAGGGGGGGGGGGCGAGAGGCCCGCTTGGGCCCCTCCGACCGGCCTCTCCTCCTCGCCCCAGAGGCCAGAAACCCTACTCGCCCTTGCCCCCCTCCACAGTGAGCGCCTGCGCGGGGGCTCCTCCTCCACGCGTGTGCGTGCACCCACAGCATGGCCATTCCAGGTGGAGTTGAAGAGGCTGCGTTTATTGTGCTGGGTTTTCTCCTGGAAGGATGAGGGGGCGGCAGTGGTGGCAGCACAACAGCCCTGGCACGGGGCACGGGCACGCCCTGAGGCCGCCCTCCACGTTGGCAACGAGATGCACGGCTTCCCAGGGGAGGCGTCCGCTCAGCCCTCCTGGGCCCACCGCAGGAAGGTGGGGATGTCCCTGACGGGGACGTTGCGGGTCAAGGCCTTCACCCGCAGGTTCCGGTCGTCGGTCAGCAGCACCACCTCCCGCAGCAGCCGGATGGGGTCATCTGCAGAAGGCGGGCAGCGGGGAGGACGGGTCAGCGGCCGCTCTGCCTGGGCCCCACCCAGTCCCGGGACACCCCCCGCCTGACCAGGATGCCCCCCCCCCTCCTGCAGAACCTTCCCAGGGCTGAACAATGAGCCTCCCCTGGGCCAGCCGGGAGGCGGGTTGTTAGAAACCAGAGGCTGTCAGATTGTCAGGCCCCATCCGCCATAATCCCCTGATCCCCCCCTTCCGTCCCAGCCAGGCATAAACACTGCGAAACGCCTTCTCCCTCAAGCTGACAAGTTAAGCTGCTCAGAATTTGGCCCGACAGGCCTGGGGCTGGGCTGAGCAGCTGCGGCCCCAACTTCTAGCCCCCCCACCCCTGGAAACGGCTCCAGAGCAGCCAGCAGCCCCCTGCACCTTCCAGGAAAGGGCCGGCACCCTGGACTGGGCACCTAACGTCCCCCCTCTGCTGGCGTCCCCCACCCTACTCCAAAGTGGCCCCCTGTCTGCGGGGCCCCTCGGGGGCTCTTCCCCGCCCGCTCACCTTTCTTGGCTGGCATGAAGTCCTTGGCCCTGTCGTTGCAATAGTGGAGGCAGCAGGAGAGGATCAGGTCGTCGTTGTTTCCCTGGGGAAGAGGAGGTAGAGGAGAAAGGCTCCTGCGGGGGCCGCCCTCTGGAACCGGCCCACTGGGGGCAGCTGCTGGCCTCCCGGGGCAAAGACTGCCCGGCCCTCTCCTTCTCCCAGGGGAAGCACAAAGCCCTCGGGAGACGGGAACTGCCGGGAGGGGCCCAAAGTCTCACTGGGGCGGCAGCAGGAAAGGCCTCCCCTTGGGGTGGGGAGGTGGGGAGAAGACTCAGGCCCGCTGGCCATTAGATAGTCCTGAACAGTGGGGAGAATTCTGCTCTGGGTCCCTCGGAACAAGAGTTGGGGTCCCCCCGGAGCCCCTCCCCAATGGCATTGATGCGTGCCCCTCCCACTTCACACACCTGGAGCGTTTCCCTCCTTCCATCCCTGCAGGTGCCTGTGCTGTTTCTGTTCTGGGTCTCCGGAAAGGGTCTTCCCAGGAGGAGACTCCCCCATGCTGGGCGGGGACTGAGCCACTCAGGGGGAGGAGCCCCTGGACGCTCTGCAGCCTGCAGCTTCTCCCAGGAACGGCCCAGAGAGACCCCCAAATCCTCAGGGGCTCCATGAGCCCCCCCCCCCGACATTCTGCGCCCAGGCCTTGGCCTTTTCCACCCGGCCATTTGCCCTCCCCCCGCCCCCTGCGCTTGTCTCTGCCCTCAAAATAATAGCAATAGCAATAGCAATAGCAA